CATGACATTTTTCCTCAAAATCTTTATCAGGCTTTCTTCTCTGTGAACATGAAAGTGGGAAATCGTACCATCCTGACTGAATTCATCTTGGTGGGCTTCTCAACAGACCCCCAGTGGCAGCTAACTTTATTTGGAATATTTCTGACAATCTATTTGATAACCTTGTTGGGGAACATGACCCTGGTTGTCTTAATTCGTATCGACTCCCACCTGCACACGCCTATGTACTTTTTCATTGGCAGTCTGTCTTTTCTGGATTTTTGGTACACCTCTGTGTATACTCCCAAACTCCTGGTCACTTGTGTCTCAGAAGATAAACGCATTTCCTTGGCTGGGTGTGGAGCCCAGGTGTTATTTTCCTGTGTCGTCGCCTACACTGAGAGCTATCTCCTAGCAGCCATGGCATTTGACCGCCACATGGCAATCTGTAACCCGTTACTTTATTTAGCGACTATGTCCCGCTCTCTGTGCACTGGGCTCGTTGCTGGCTCTTACATTGGAGGGTTGCTGAATGCCATCGCCCACACTGCCAACACTTTCCGCCTGAGTTTCTGCGGTGAAAATATCATTGACCACTTCTTCTGTGATGCACCACCATTGGTAAAAATGTCTTGTACAGACACCCAGGTCTACGAAAAAGTCATGCTGGGCGTGGTGGGCTTCACGGTCCTCTCCAGCATTCTTGCCATCCTGATCTCCTATTTCAACATCCTTCTGGCTATTCTGAGGATCCGCTCGGCCTCAGGAAGGTGCAAGGCCTTCTCCACCTGTGCTTCACACCTCATCTCAGTCATGCTCTTCTATGGGTCCCTGCTCTTCATGTATTCAAGGCCAAGTTCCACCTACTCCCTGGAGAGAGACAAAGTGGCTGCCTTGTTCTACACGGTGTTCAACCCATTCCTCAACCCTCTCATCTATAGTCTGAGAAACAAAGATGTCAAAGCAGCCTTCTGGAAAGCAACTCAGACTGTCAGGCCATGGAGTTAGATGAATGTTATCTTTGTGCTGAATGCTGTTGCTGCATTTTTCCAAATTATTGGCTTATAGATATGTTTGTAAACACTGCAATATTTCGAGTAAATACAACATGTTACACTTAAAACAATGAAACAGATCAAACCATTCTTTAATTGTTGATTACTACTTTGCTGTGATTAAACTATTTTAAACCTATAATATGGGTTGCTTCAATGTTCCACAATATTGTATTTTGCTTCCTAGCAGTACAAGATTTTCATAAAATTTATCCTCTTGATTATTTTTGGGAGGTCTTAGAGAAAAGAGGAATTGGGTAGTTTTTGTGCACATAGTTTGATTTTGAAGCTTGGCGAGCAAATTTTATTGTGTAGGGAAAAGATTTGGAGTGGTTAAACTTGTGGAANCTCTAAAATTTTGTGTTTATACATATAAGCAGTTTGGGAAATTGGGTAGAAGCATCAGTGCTTTCAACAGTTTCTCAAAGATGTCCATGATTTGATTCCAAACATTTAAGAGCTGTTAAATTCTTAGATTAAAAAAAAAACACCTAAAAAATGCAGTAGTTATAGGATATGTACAATCTCAGAGGATTGATTTTTAGGGAAATAAAGAAGACAGAAATCTTAAAGTAAAAAAAAGAATGCTATTGGTAAATTCCATCTCTCACTTCAACCAACATGATGATAATGCCCCATGTATCTAACTAAGGATATATGTATGTATAAAAGTTTTTCATCTGTTCTACAATGCTGTATTTTTGCAGATGACGTTACTTATTCTTATTTTTGTGATGGCTCCTATACAACATTAACAAATTGGAATCATAGAAGGCGGGCACTTGAAACGGCTTGACAAATTTTTCTTGTGATGAATCTATGTTACAGAGAGGACAGGTGACTCTCTTAAAATCACATAATGGATAGTGACAGGCTCTGTCTCTATCACAGGACCCCGCCCCCCCAATCCAAGGACAATGAGCTTTGTACTTCCAAGTCTGCCATTCTTTTTTCAAATTGCATGAGAATAGGTGGCAAACATATTAACCTTTAGGATTTCAGGAAGATTCTGAAGGACACCACCACTATGGCTTAAATTCTCTCCTTGAAGAAACTTGGCCTTACTTATTGTTTTTCCTGAAGGTCTGCTTTTATAAATAAGTCAGTCTTTATTCCTCTCACTCAGAATAAAAATAGCTACTATTAGTTAGGTATATTTTCTGTCTGCACACTGGGCTATGCATTTTATCTAGATAGCACTGACATTTGTTTACCTTTTTAAAGGTGAAGGAATGTGGGTTGGTGGTTGTTAAAGGCTTTCTCAAGACTGCAGAGCTACCAAGGGGTGAAATCAAGGTTTGGACTCTGGTGCCATTTCAATTATGTAATTATGCAAGTTTACCTACCCCAGACCTGTCTGCTCTTACCTGCCTTGGTCCTATAAACGTGGTTAGCTATTAGTTGAGTTGGCAGCTGGATAATGAAGAATTGTGGTCTTTTTTTTAAAAAAAAAACCATAATATATAGATAGCTGGTTTCTGGTTAATTTACATATTTATATTTTAAATATTGAAGTTAGTACTAAAGTATAATGTGACGAATTTGTGATAGAGTTATGTTTCACATAGATCTTAGAAGGATGACTATAAGATTGGGTCTTTGAGCACGATGTCCTAAGCTTTCATCAAATTTATCCACTCTTACAAGATTTTGTAGTTTCTTGTGTAAAAATAGAGAGAAGATGCTTTCATTGCCAACTCATACTTGGGAAGGATTTTGTCTTCAAGAATTCTCCACTATATTGAGGTTAAATATAAATTTCTGGTTAGAAGAGAGATTGAGAGTGATGCTCTGTTGAGTCTTGTCTATCAAGATAAGATCTCAGTTCACATAATCCCTAGAAATTTTATCTAGAAGTTCTAATGCCTTCTTTTCTGCCTTTATCAGAGGACTGGTCTCAACAGGTAATAGAGGATTAAAAATTTCAGAGATTCCATTTAAGAGGGAACCTTGTTTGCTTTCAATCTAGTCTCTGATCTGCAGCCAGAGTAAACTTTGAAGATGTAAATCTGATCATGCTACTTCCTCATAATGGCAATGGCTTCCATTTTTGTTGGTTTAAGGTCAAAATCCTTATTATGTTTCCAATAAGCTTTGTGAGCTGATAACTCTGGCTCACCCACTGGTTCCTGTCTCCATTTCTTCTTTATTTAACCTGTCTCACCTCTGTGAATGCCCCAGATTCCCTCTCATGGGAGAGTTCTGATACATGCTTTTTCTTCTCATGGAACTACTCTTTTCTCTCTCCTTACCTCCACAGTGTGTGGCATTGGGCTCAGTATTCAGGGCTCATTTAAATATCTCTTCTTATGGGGAGACTTTGAGAAGTAGACAAAAAAATTATTTTTTCAGTTATTTTTATCTTTAGAGTGTAGTGGCAGGAGAGTAGTAATTGGCTCTGTCTAGCTATTTCCAGTTTCCCCCAAATTATATTATATTAAAGATGAACTTAATGAGTTTCAGATATTTTTCATTGTATAGACAAGTGATAACATAGCAGAGAAAGTTCATAGTAACTTTTGAGATGGTGTCTATAACCCACCATTTTATACATTGTAAATATAATAACCGTACATTCCTGCCAAGATAATTCTACTCAAGCTTGAGCAGATGAAGAATAAATATTGTAGTGTACAAATGGATACTAGNAGGTAAAGCAATGATTGACAACAATTAAGGTTCTCTGCATGTTTGTATTTCTTGTTCAGTTTTATGCATGAATTAATAAAAATTACAGAATATTGCTTTCTGCTGTATCATTTTCTAATTTTAGTAGTCTTTTTACATATATAAAACATGAGGCTGTACCAACATAAAAAACCCTGGAGTTAATAATAAGTATAGTTGTTATCTAGAGCTGCCATAAAATAGCACACACTGAGTGGCTGAAACAACAGAAGTATATTTTCTCACAGTTCTGGAGGCTAAAAAGCCCTAATCAAGGTGGCATCAGGGCTGATTAGTCTGAGGCCTCTTCCCTGTGCTTGCAGATGGCCACCCTTTTGCTTTGTCTTCACATGGTCTTTGCTCTGTGCATTTACATCCTTGATATCTCTGTGTGTGCCCAAATTTCCCTTTCCTCTTTTTATAGACACCCATCAGATTGGATTAGGCTCACCCTAACCACCCCATTTTAAGTTAATTACATCCATAAAGATCTTGTTTTCAAATATGGCCACATACTGAGTTAGTGGCGGTCAAGGCTTCAACTTACAAATTTTGGGGAGTTACAATTCAACCCATATTATCAGGTATTGACAAGTTTTTTGGTGAATGAGACAATGAAGGGTAGCCTGGAAAGATAGAAGAGCACATGGCAAGGAAAAAAATTATGGACCATGTGATAATTTGTAGAAAAGTAATTAGTATAATTTAGGGAATTTCTATTACTAGACACATTTATGATTGTATTGTGACATAGGTCCATTAAGAGAGTCAACTTTCAATAAAAGTCTCCTCATTTCAACATATCCTAATTAACGTATCATCCTCATACTCCAAATAAACCCTAATTGAGTCTTTGGAGACTGAGGTACATATTTCTGCGAAGGAGTCCCAAAGGGCTGTTGAGGAAACAGATATCAGGTTCAGAGGAACACATCAGACAGCAGAGGAGAGGAAAAAAGAGTTCATTGTTAGGAGTGTCCTTCCCTATCAAAGGTAAGCAACTGGGATCAGGGCAGCCAAGTGGTTTGGCCTGTGACCTCAG